GGACAGGCAGCTGGGAGTGGCCGGGGCTGAGGGACAGAGTGGGGGACAGGCTGTGGGACAGGCAGCTGGGAGTGGCCGGGGCTGAGGGACAGAGTCGGGGAGCAGGTTGCTGGGCAGGTGGCTGGGAGCAGCCAGGGGGCTGAGGGACAGTAGAGGGGATAGGCTGTGGGGCAGGCGGCTCAGAGTGGTGGGGACTGAGGGACAGTGGCTGCCGGTCTCCCTTGCAGGCCCAAGGCATCTGTGCTGTTGGTGGGCCTGGAGCCAGGGCTGGCCTGGGATGTGACACGGCCCCCAAAGATGAAGGAGGTCCCAGCTGGTCTCAGGTTACAGATGGGCACCCCTCAGGAGTCCCTGCCCACCTACACCCAGACCCTGAGAGAGCTGTGTGAGTGAGGGTCCTGGCCACCCCACCCCCACGCTGGTCTTTGGGGGTTGCGGGAGGGGCCTGCTGGAAGGAGCCCAGGCCCAGAGCTTGCCTCCTGTGGCCAGTGCTGGAGCAACGCCCCCCGATCACAGCTGACCTGGAAGTCCCCAGTCCCACCAGGTACCAGGTGCCCAGCCCATCCGTACGAGAGTCTTCCCCACACCCCCGCTACAGCATCGGCTGCAGGCACCGGGGCCGAGGTGCGTGTCCCCTCCCTGAGGCCCGACCCCCGGGCCTGTCCTCCACCCTGGGAATGGGGGCCTCTGCCTCTGAGCTGAAACCCCACGGCCTGAGGTCCCCTCCACCCTCCCGGTGTTCACTTCCAGGCTCAGTGCCTGTAAGGAGGCCTGGAGAGAGGAGGGCCAGGGCTGGGGCATGGGTGGGCGTTGTGAGGACAAGGGTTCAGAGGCCGGGGGTGGGAACTGGGAGCCAGGTTCGAGTGGGGGCTGCCACCTGGGTGGGGCCCCCAGCCTTCTCTCTCTCCACCCTCCACCTACAGAGGGCGGTGGCCGCAGGGCATGGCAGACTCTGTGGTTCCAGAGTGAAAGCCCCTTCACGCAGAAAGCCGACTTCGACCAAGAGCAAAAGGTGGGGGCTGGGCAGGCAGGGGGCTGGGGGTTCCAGCGGGGCCAAAGGGGAGCTGGCTGAGGATCCATGGGGAGCGCCCTGCCCTGCAGCCCCCCGTCTCCTGCCCCCTTGCAGTGGCCCTCGCCAGCCCACTACCAGCTGTTCAGCCGGCCCGCCGGCCCCGCCTTCAGCTTCAGAGGCCACCACTCCACCTCCAAGACACCTGAGGGCCACATCCGCCCAGGGCTGCCTGGAGCCAGGGGGCTGGGCCTCAGGGTGCAGCCCCAGTCCCTGCTTCAGGCCTCTTTGCAGGCACCTGGCAAGAGACGCCCTGGCCCCAACACCTACAATATCCTTCCTGGGAGCCGCCTGCAGAGGCCCCGTTCGCCGGCCTTCTCGATGAGCCGCTCCCCTGCATTCACCTCCTGGCTCAGCACCTGTAAGGACGCCTGGAGAGAGGAGGGCTAGGGCTGGGGCATGGGTGGGTGTTGTGAAGACAAGGGTTCAGGGGCCAGGGGTGGGAACTGGGAGCCAGGTTCGAGTGGGGGCTGCCACCTGGGTGGGGCTCTCAGCCTTCTCTTTTGGCAGCTCGAACCCCTGGCCCAGCTGCCTACTACGTGGAGGACTGCTACAACTCACGCTTCCCCTCAGTGCCTGGCGTGGTCATCCAGGGTGTGCGCAGACCCAAGCGCCACAACACAGGCCCCTTCTGTGCACTCTAGAGCCAGCTGGGCACAACCTGCTTGGCCCGGCCACCGAGTGGCCTCCCCCGGGGCTTTCCCAGGCCTCCCTTGGGACTCAGGGCCCCAGCCTGGCCTTCTGACCCTCTGGGCACCCCCGATGCACCCTTCTGGCTGGTCAATCCTTCTATGGGCTGTGGACAAGGCTGGCCCAGCCTGGATCCCTCATCTGGCCACCTCCCTGCTATACAGAGACGCTGTTGGTTCTCTTGAGCTCTGTGGTGTGCAGTTGTCTGTCCTTCACCTGGGGGCGGTCCTGGGTCATTTCCAGCTTTTCCTGTTGAGGGATCTCCATTCGGCTGCCCCTGAAGGGTGCTCTCTTCTCTAGGGCGGCAGCCTGCGACTCACCCTGAGCTCCAGCCTGGAGCGAGATGGGAGGTGGGCTCTGTGGGACGCCCCCACCCAGCTGTGCCACTTAGGGGCCTGGTCCAGTTGCTGTCCACCTGAGGGTCAGCCGCTTGCCAAGCCAGGGAACTTGGAAGGAGGTGCCAAATGCCCTGAGCCGCCACCTCCAGGTGGGGTCGGCCTGGCCAGGTCTCAGGAAGGGCCCAGGGACCCCGCTCACCAGGGCCCAACCCCACTTCCCCTAGGCCTTGAGCTGAAGACGCAGCTGGGCTTAGTCACCTGTGCCCTGAAAACTCTGGCCCAGGGCCCTGCAGACTCCTGTGGCACTGCCAGCAGACTCCCAGGGCCTTCACCTGCCGGGTCCCTGTACTGCCCCTGCCTGCAGCTTCACCTGGCTGGGGCCTCCCTTGTCACCACTGGCCTGCCCTCCTACCCAGGGTTGGGCCCCAAGGCTGCCACCTTGCGGGAGGCTTAACTGCAGTGCCATCACCTGTACCTCCCCAAGTCCTTTCCGACCCAGGACCCAGACCAGGCCCAGAGCTCAACCCCTTCAAAAAGGCTCTGGGCAGCTGCTCCTGTGGCCTCAGCACCATCCCCTTTGGCAGAGAGGAATCCAAGGCCCTAGGGCTGTGTGTGTGCTGTGTCCCTTGCCCTCCTCTGCCACTGAACCAGCTGGGGGTTGCATCAAGGCACTGGTACCTTCGCCCTTGGGGTGACCAACTTGGCCAGCAGCAAGAGAGCCATGGTAGCCCTGGCCTTGGGAGCTTGGCCCCGCTTGTGGGAACAGGAGCTCTGCTCATGGCTGCACCACCAGGCACCCCTGGTGAGACACAAAGCTAGGAGTGGGAGCGGCAGGAAGGATGCAACGATCTCCTCCAGCTGGGCTGAGGAGGGAGGGCTTCCTGGAGGAGGTGGAGGAAAGAGCCTTTAAGGAAGAGCAAGAGTTTGTTGGGCAGCGGGAAAGAAATTTCTAGAGAAAAACTCGGCAGGGAAGACCGAAAAGAGAGAGGGTGTGTGTGGGGTGCTTGGCGCGGCACTGCCTGCGGGAGGGCGGTGGGCTGGAGAGGCGGGGAGGCCCGGGAAGCCCACCCGCCTGGGATGAGAAGGGACACTGTGGAAACTGGACTCTCCCTCACGGCTCCGCGGAGCTCGGTGGGCGCCACAGCCTCCCGGTGCCAGGGAGGGCGGCCGTCGCTCGCGCTCCCACTGCGGGCCAGGTCTCCGCCAGGCCCCGGCCCCGTGAAGGCGCTCAGAGCTCAGTCTTGGCGACAGCGCTGGAGTGGGCGTCGTGCCCGTTTCACGCGGAGGAAGCCACGCTCAGGAGGGAGGGAGTCTGCGCCCGTGTCCTGCACCTGCAGAGCGGAGGGGCGGGGAGCTCAACCCCCGGCAAAACGTCCCCGCGGCGCGTGGCTGCCGCGAGATCAACAAGAGCGTTTTCCAAGCTTGTGTACACGAAATTCACTCGGCTGAGATGACGTCAGTTGGCAGATCAGACCGACCCCGAGTCCGCCCCCACGCTCCCACCCGCCCTCTTCTGCCAGAAACCCCGGGAGCGGGCGGGACCGGGCGGGCGCATGCGCACTGGGCTGGCTGGGCGGGGTCTCTCGCGCCGGGAGAGGGCGCTGCTCCCAGGAACCTGCGCGCGGCTCCGGCGGCGTTTCCAGGGGGCCGGTTGGCGGGCGGACCCTGGCGGTGCGGGGCGGAAGTGGGCGGCTGCAGGACGCGCGCGGAGCCGCGCGGCGGGCGGGACCTGGCCGAGCTGGAGGGCGCCGGGGAGCGGGGCTCGGGCGGCCCCCGAGGCCCGGCGGAGCGGGCTTCTGGGGTGTCTGCGGCGGCGCCGGGGGAGCGGGCTGGGGATGGGGCGCCTAGCCGGGCGGCGGCCGGGGCCTCGGCCATGTTCGCGGGGCTGCAGGACCTGGGCGTGGCCAACGGCGAGGACCTGAAGGAGACCCTGACCAACTGCACGGAGCCGCTCAAGGCCATCGAGCAGTTCCAGGTGGGGCAGCCCCCGGGACGGGGGGAGCCCGGTGCGAGGGCAGGGCTGCCTGCGCGGGAGTCGGGCCTGGCGGAGGCGCCGGAAGTTTTCCGGCTTTCTGTTGGTGTCTTGAGTCTTGTTTTGGGGGTGGAGTCCGGAGCCTGCACCCCTTTGCTGGACGGCTGGGTGGCTTTCGGTGGCTGCGGTTACCGCCAGCACTGCTGGGAACACCTGGGTTCGTACCTCCCTGGGTTCGAGCTCTTAGAACCTTGGGGTGCCCGGGCGCACTGGGCTGTGGCTGAGATTTCTCTTGACTTCCTCAGACAGAGAATGGCGTGCTGCTGCCCTCTCTTCAGTCGGCCCTCCCTTTCTTGGACCTGCACGGGACGCCGCGGCTGGAGTTCCACCAGTCGGTGTTCGATGAGCTGCGGGACAAGCTGCTGGAGCGAGTGTCAGCCATCGCTTCGGAGGGGAAGGCTGAGGAAAGGTGGGTCAGCGGGAGGGATGGGCAGGTGAGATGTGCGGCTGTCTTCTCAGCCTTGGATCGACTCAGGGGCATTTATCATCCTTTTGGCTCCACATCCTTACTCCCAGAGGTGGCCTGGTTCTGTGTCTGAGTGTGGAGTCTTGCCCCATGTGTGCTGCGCGTGGAGGCTTGTCCTGGTAGCCTGGTAGCTGTTACCTGTGTGGGGACAAGCAGGTAGCTGCTCTGATCTGGCGCATCGCTGCACCATCAATCCTGTGAGTTGTTGCAGGTACAAGAAGCTGGAAGACCTTCTGGAGAAGAGCTTTTCTCTGGTCAAGATGCCGTCCCTGCAGCCCGTGGTGATGTGCGTCATGAAGCACCTGCCCAAGGTAGGGCCCTAACCCTAACCCTGACGTGGTGGCGTGGACCGTCCACCCACCCCTCATGCCCTTAAGTTGGTGGAAGTTCTGGTGGCCACCTAGCCCGGGGAGCTTCCCACGCCGCCTGCCGGAGTGCTGTCCATGGTGAGCTCTGTCTGGCTTCTCCCACATGAGCAGCGTGGAGACTGAACCTTAGCACTGGAGTTGGGGTGTGGGGCCCGCCCTGGGATAGAGCTGTTGGTATTTGGCTTGTCTGCATGAACCTGCTGGGGCCAGGGAACCTGTCATAGGTGTCCTGTGGGGTGGGGCTTAGCTGGAGGTGGTCTTGGGAGGGGGGAGCTGAGGCCTCTTGGCTTGTCTTAAGGGAGATCCAGGGACACAGGAGCCACTCACAGGCTGCCTGTGGTGTCATGTAGGTTCCTGAGAAAAAGCTGAAGCTAGTCATGGCTGACAAGGAGCTGTATCGAGCCTGCGCCGTGGAGGTGAAGCGGCAGATCTGGCAAGACAACCAGGCTCTCTTCGGGGACGAGGTTTCCCCGCTGCTGAAGCAGTACATCCTGGAGAAGGAGAGCGCGCTCTTCAGCACAGAGCTCTCTGTCCTGCACAACTTCTTCAGCCCTTCCCCCAAGACCAGGCGCCAGGGCGAGGTGAGGGGACAGGCCGTGTGCAGGGCGGGGCACCTTTTGGGGGTGCCATGGCTGGCCCCATCAGCTGCCTGGGGATCAACACTCTGGTGCCCTGTGAATGCTTGGATGGTTCTGCTTCTTGGCTGGGCGGTGGGGGAGGGCTGGCTTGTACCCGTGCTGGAAAGAAAGTTGGGGGTTTTTCTGTTTCTAGTTTACTTTTCTTTAAAGTGATATATGGACAGCATTAAAATCTACAGAAAGGGCCTAATGAGAAGTTACAGCACCCGCTCCCCTACTCTTTTTTTTTTTTTTTTTTGAGACGGAGTCTCGCTGTCTGTCGCCAGGCTGGAGTGCGGATGGCTGATCTTGGCTCACTGGCAAGGCTCCGCCTCCCGGGTTACGCCATTCTCCTTGCCTCAGCCTCCTGAATAGCTGGGCTACAGGCGCCGCCACCACGCCTGGCTAATTTTTTTTTTTTTTTTTGAGAGGAGTCTGCGCGCTGGTTGCCCAGGCTGGAGTGCAGTGCGCGGGACTCTCAGCTCACTGGCAAGCTCCGCTCCGGGTTGCGCGCATTTCTGGCCTCAGGCTTCCTGATTAGCTGGGAACTACAGGCGCCCACCACTGCCGGCTTATTCTTTTTGTAATTTTTAGTAGAGACGGGGTTTCACTGTGTCATGCCAGGATGGTCTCGATTCCTTGACTCCGGTTGATCACGCGTCTCGGCCCTGCCCAAAGGTGCCGTGGGTTACAGGCTGTTGGAGCCACGCGGCTGCCTTTTTGTTTTGTTTTTGAGACGGTGAGTCTCGCGTCTGTCGCCCAGGCTGGGAGTGGCAGTGCCGGATCTCAGTCGACTGCAAGCTCCCGCCTCCCCGGGTTCACGCCAGTGTCTTCCCTGGCTCAGCCTCCCGAGTGACTGGGATTTACAGGCGCGCCACCTCGCCCGGCTAGTTTTTTGTAAATTTTTTGTAAGGGACGGCGGGTTTCACAGGTTAGCAGGCATGGCTCAATCGATCTGCTGAACCTCGTGATCCGCCCGGTCTCGGCCTCCCCAAAGTGCTAGGCTTTCCAGGGCATTGAGCCCACCGCGGCCCGGCCGGCGCCTGGGCTAATTTTTTGTATTGTTTATTGAAGACGGGGATTTCACCGTGTTAGGGCCGAGGCTGGTCTCCTATCCCTGGCCCTCATGATCCGGCGGCCTGGGCCCTCCAAGTGCTGGGATTACAGGCGGTGGCCACTGTACTACGGCACCTCCCTGCGTCCCCGGCCCCCTCTAAAAAAGCAAGTTCGTTTGGTCCTTCAACTTTTTTTCTGTTTGTAGCAAACAACATGTATTAGATGACACAGCTGTTACAATTGGCCTAAAGCTGCTGTTGTGGGGCTGGTAACTGGCTGAGGTTGCCGGGCTAGGAACCAGGAA